AAGCAAAGTCAAACCACACTGCAAGTGAGAAAGAACAAGACACATGACTGGATCACTTATGGCCACACTACACAAGTGATGTCATGGTGAATACAAATGACACTGGGAAAAGAGATCCTTCTGCCTCATTTTTAAAACTTTGAGAAGTTGCTGTCTATGAAGTAAAACATCATATGTTCTCGTTCATCTTCAAACTGTTCTTTTTTTTGTCTCCCATAGCATGAGTTAGCAGGCTACTTCCACAGCTACCTTTAATAGTTAAGATTAAATAAAATTTTCCTACATCGCATTTAAAGCACAAATCTTAAGTGTTTGCAGAACATATGTTATTTCATTTCCCAAGCCTCTGTGGCATTAATAGCAATAAGTTACCCTCTGCAAAATTAGGTAATTTTACAAGTTAAGATCAGAAACTTCATATAAAGCAAATGTCACAAGTCTGAAATGGAAAAAAGTAGCTTATTTTCAGATGAGAGAAAGAAGAAAACACCGAGGGAGCCCAAATACTTTGCAACACAGATACAATATTTATAAAGAACTCCAAAAAAGCATTAACAAAAATTATTAAAGCATTTAGATAGTTCTATCTCATAAATTAAATAGTTCTTTATGGTGTTTGGGTGTGAATTATTAGGACATGTCAGTCAGCCTAACTTTCTACCCATCTGACCCATCATTCTAACCTATCTGAAGTCACCATGGGGAAAAAAAAAGGTCTTGTTTCTAGGGAGTAGTGAGTGCTGCCTTTCCCTCTAAGTAACAACACACCTTCCTTTCTCCAAAAACATCATCCAAGTGTGGCAAAGGTACGAAACTGATTACTCTGAAAGGAACTGCTTCAGGTCACTCATCTTCTGTACACTTCATACAATCAAAGAATATGCTGAGTTGGAAGGAACCCATCAGGATCATTGAGTCCAACTCCTGGTGCTGTGTAGGACACCCCAACAATCCCACCATGTGACTGAGAGCATTGTCCAAATGCTTCTTGAACTCTTGACAGGCTTGGGGCTGTGACCACTTCTCTGGGGAGCCTGTTCAGTGCCCAGCCACACTCCAGGTGAAAACCTTCTCCTGATATCCAAGCTAAACCTCCTCCAACTCAGCTCCAGCCACTTCCTCAAGTCCTGTCACTGGCCACGAGAATGAAGAGATTCATATTTGGTCCTCTGCTGCCCTGGGGGGAGGAGGGGAAGGAGGGGGCAGATGTTGAAGACCACAACGAGATCTCACCTCCATTTCATCTTCTCCAGGCTGAACAAGCTGAGTGACCTCAGCAACTCCTGACAAGGCTTCCCCGCCAGACCCCTCACCCTTGCAGCTCTCCTTTGGATGCCAATAACTTAACGTCTTTTTTATATTGTGATACCCCAAACTGCCCTCAGGACTCAAGATGTACTCTGCCACACCAGGGCAGAGTAGGGTGGGACAATCCCCTCCCTGATGTCCTCCAGGACAGGGATGTCCCTCCTGGCTGCCAGGGCACTGCTGACTCAGGGCCAACTGGCCAGCACCCCCAGGGCCCTTTCCCGGCACTGCTCTCCAGCCTCTAAATTAATTTAAGGCAGTCACATATAGTAAAACTACTATGATCATAAACTGTATGTTTAATGATCTCATAAAGTAAAGTAAGTTGCAGGCACATCCTGAAAGGGAAATGTGAAAACATCCATCAAATTTTAGCCCTGAGAAAAATTTGTATCACCTCTCAGCTATTGAAAAGATAAAGCAATTCATTCCCCATACAAGGACATTCTGTTTGCTAGAGTGCAACTTCAGCAGAAAATTATAGACAAGCAAACTACTAGTTGTGTATTAGTGGTAAGTTAATGAGAAAAGCATTTGGGTTCACATGAATTTACAGGGCTGACATGAAGCTGCTGGTTCTCTGATATTCCACTGCCACATGTGTGAAGCATCAGTTTTAAGACACGATCCAGCTAGAATACCAAAGAACAAGGAAGTCAGAGAAAGTTTCTAAGAGCATTCAGTAACCACTTTATACAGCAGTAACAATAATAATTACGCCTACCATTCCAAAATCCTGGTTTTCAATAATTAACCTCACAATGACAGTCCCAAGACCTTTATCACAATGCCACTAAATCTTTGCAACGAAGTCCATCAAACTTCACACAGATGGGGAGAAGTTACTCTCTCCTCCTCTTCATTAGCTCCACACTTATCACCTGATCTCCTCTCATCATGAGGGGCAATACCAAGATCAGGATCTGTTCCTATGAGACTTCACAGTACAAGAGTCTTTGGAAAGTGGTACTAGGATCCTTCACCCCCCTTCTCTGCAGTAGAGGACCCCCTTAATCCAACAACCTTCTTCTGTCAAGATACAGCTGGCCATCACTCCACTACAAAGAGGTAGGGGAACAGTTTCACCAACTCAGTAGAGAAAAAGGAAAGACAAGTGAATGGAAAAAATTCAAGGAACAATTAGAATGAAAAAAATAAAGTAGTTATGAACACATTAGAGGAAATGCTTTTGTAGCATTGAAGAAAGTTATCACAGAAAGACCATCCATTAAAACAGTTTGAAGTCATAAAGGACATTAGTGGAATGATTATTTGGAGGCAGTACTGACAGCTCATCAGTGATTTAAGACATTCAATAGTCTAAGAGATATCAACTTAGAAGGTAAAGATAACTAATATACTGTTGAAAACAGAAAGACCAATTAACAAATTGAAACAAAGGGGGGTCATGGTAAAAAGAAATGGTTAAAAAAGCTTTGCATTAGTAAAATGAGAGGAGACAGACAGCACAAACCCCAGAACTTCTCAAGGGCAGAAGATGGTTTGCTGCAGTGATCAAATGGGTAAGACTGAGTTCCACCTGCGTGAACAGACAAGAAAAGCAAACACACTACACAGTCTGAAAGAATGGCTGAAACCTCTTTCGAGGTACTCGTGTCTACTGTGTGTCAAAGAATAATTAGCTTCACACCTCACAGTGAAGTATGATTGAGACAGCTCTGTTGTACAGATCAATCAAGATTAAGGAACATTAAGAGCTTTGCTGTAACCACACTTGGTTTGTGAATATGAACATTCAGCTATCAAATACTTCAGACATGAGACCAATACAAATCAGAAGATCAAGGAATATTTTAGCAAAATATTTTGCTATCAGCAGCAAAATAGTTACTTCATATATTCAAATGAAAATACCTGGACACAAGCAAGTGAAGCTTTCACCGACAACAATGGAAAAATAAAACAAATTGAAGTGTTTAGGAATGGCGAGAACAGTCACCTGAGAAGACCCTCACCACGACAGACATGACAGACTGCAACCAAGGCGAGTAGAAAGACTAGAGAATTCAGCAAGTCTCAGCAGAAAGATGCCAATTCCAGAAAATGCATGTACTTCCACTGTTACACAAAGAATATATGCCTTAAAAATGGAACTGGAGAAAGAAAACTAACAACAGCCAATGATATTAGAAGAGCAGGAGACAAAAGTTCCAAAGCGAGCTCATCCTGCTTAATGTTACAAAAGATTGTATCACGTTCCTATTGCAAGAAAAAACAGAACAAAAAGGATGAAGATGACAACTAGGGAAGGAGATGCAAATATAAACTAAAAGAATCAGAAGGTGAAGGAAGTCACTGGAGGAAGAAAAGGGTCTGAAGAGAAAAAGTTCAGATGAAAATGTAAGGATGGGATCACGCTCCCCCCCGCCATCCAGACAAGACCCTGCAAAAATAGAGGTAGGGGTAGAAATATTTAAGTTGGCATCAAAAGATGCAATAAGTGTTGGTAACCTGGTATGCACTGGTGAGCCTAATGTTCCCCAGTAGAATGGGGAGGTAAAGTCAGGGGCTTGTATGACATAAGACAGTTATTCCCAAGCTTCTAGTTCTAAAAGAATATAATAACCCATCAAAATTCATTATAAGGTCATTATAACGACAGTATGTAAATACTGTCATTAAGACCATTCTTAAGACCACTTATCATGCCTCCCTGGGCACTGACAGCTCATCTTGGGTCTGGAAGCCAATATGCTGCATCACAGGAGCTGTCAAACAACTTAAGTGCAGTTGTATTGTCTGCTGCTTGAAGGCCTCGACTTCAAAGGCTGCACCTACAGCAAATATTTCCTTCCTATTTTTAATATTAATATCAGAACCGTAACTGCCACTGATGCACAGTTCAAATGTAAGAAACAGTCTTGAAAAAGGGGCCTTGCACCTCTTCATTCACCTCCCTTGAGGCATTTCTTCCCCTCTTGCATTACCTGAGAATGAGAAACAGAGACAGCCAGGGCAAAGTGGCGTTTGCAGAAACACTGAAGGACACTGGTCATTTCCAAAGGCAAACTACAGATGCCCACTGACACCTGAAACATCACTGTACACACCTTGGGCCAGAATACCCAAATCCTGCAGTACTGCAGCCCAGGTTCTCCTGATCCTCTTCAGAAAAAAAAAGTCCAACCACTTTACTAACAGATTTTTGAGATTTTCAGCTCAAAAAAAATAATACATCTATTAAGATACCTCACCTCGTTTTATAAAACTGCTCCTATTATTCTCTTAGGTAGAGAAAGGATTAACACGAGTGTAAGCGAAGGAAAGGTTTACAGCAGAGCGAAAGTTGTGGACAATGAGTCCTGAAAGCACCTGGACAAGGCGGGGCCCAAAGCGGCTCCGAGCCCCCCCCGGGGCCCGTGTCCGGCACCGGCCCCGCCGTCTGCGCCCAGGGAGCGCCGTCCCGCCCCCGCGGGGCCACCGCCCAGCGGGAGGCACCTGCGGGCCGGCCCGGCCCGGCCCCCGCCCCGCGGACAGCGCGGCGGCCCCGCCGGGCGCTCCCTTTGTCCGGCCGCTCGGCCCGCGGGGGGCGAGGCGGTCGCGGGGAGAGGACGCTCCCGAGGACGGGCCGGTGCCCGGGCGCGGCGCTGAGCGCGGTCGGCAGGGCCGAGGCTGGGGGGGCCGGGGGGGTCTGTGCGGGCCGAGGAGCGGCGGCCGCAACTCCCGCCTACCTTCGTTCGCCAGGTCCGCCATCTTCCTGCCGCGGCCGCGCCCACAATGCACCGCGCGCGCCGCGCACGCGCCCATGGACGGCGGCTCCGGGGCGGCTCCGCGCGTGCGCGGGGAGAGGCCCCGCCCCGGCCCCTCACGGCCCCTTGGGGGTCCCGCCCGCTCCCCTCACGGTCCCGCTCGGTCCGTCCCGGGCTCCGCGGCCTCTGCCGGGCGGCTCAGGCGCCGTCCCCGTGTGTCGGCCCTCCTGTCTCCGTCTCTCTGCTCCCCTCTTCCGTGGCCGCAGGGCACAGCCGAGCGGGCCGTGAGCTGAAAGGTTCCCGGTGCAGCGGCTGCTCTGGGACGCTGCCGGCCTGAACATTGGCTGACGGAATACCCTGAGCTGGAAGGGACCCCCCAGGATTATCAGTCCAACTCCTGGCCCTGCACAGGACCTCTTACTCTTTGGCTACTAAGGCAGAAGAAAAATACCGTTAAGAGTGTTGCTTTTCACCCAAGATGGGTCCTGTCATCCTTCCCTGGCTTAAATAAACTTGCTACTAGTCAGTAAGCTACATGATCCTGAGCAAGTCATCCCTGTTTTCCGTGAGGGTAAGGCTCTGGCTCTGACTCTGGCTCTGGCATCCACAGGTACCTGGGGGACACATAGCAAGACTTCAGAAATGTTGGGGTTACATCTCAGGAGAAAACTCTCCTTTCTGGAGCTAAGTGAGGGAAAGAGATTTAGAAAATTATTGTTTGTCTCGAAAAAAATCTAGTAATTAGATCATCTAAATTCTGGAGAGGATCCAAGACTTAAAATAAAGGAGACATAGCAGAGAAAATTATTTTAGGAAATTAATAATATTAATTATTTATTCTGTGTTTGGTGCAGAGTGTGAATACAAAGTATTTGAATGCAAAGCCAGATACACAGTCTCTGTAAGGAGGCTAAAAAGGGAGGTTGAGCGGTCAACTCTTCAGTAAGCACCATCACATATGCTCCCTGAAGAGGAAAAGCTTTAAGAGGACTGGGCTATCATCACTGTCTCAAACATCCTGTTCACAAGGCAGCTGTGAAAAGCCCAACAACCTCAATGCCCTTTGCATAAAATTTTGAGCGGAACAGGATTTTCATCATGATGGGTAAATCCACAGCTGCAGCTGGAGACTAAATACAACTTTTTACAGACTGAACGCGACTTTTGACCACTAACAACAGCCAAGAAAATATCCAGGAAGCACCTAATGGGATCCTATGAAGACCTATGGGGTCTGACACCACAGATCACCTGCCCAGACCCTGGAATGTGAGCGGGCAGGACAGAAAGTAAGGAGAAAGTAGCAGGCAGGCCTTTGGTTCAGGGCCTGGAACACCTGATGTCACAGCACACAATAGAGAGCACCGACACTGCTAAACCAGAGTCAGCCCCAGGATACTCAAACTCTGGTCATTAGGCTGCAACACTTTTTATTTGAGCCCAGCTGACTTAAAGCTGATTTTAGTATATCCTCTGATCACGGCCTCAAACTTTGAACAGCTTTGTAAGATTTTTTCAGTGCATGCCCACTGGCAACTTAACTGCACTAGTGCTGGCAGCTGCATGATGTCCACATGGCAGCCTGAGTCTGTGCAGGGGTCTACACCTTGTCTGTACCTCTTCCCTGGAGAACATTTGGTGCAGAGAATTTAGCCAAAAGCATTAGCATGTCTCTATTCACACAAAAACTATGATTTTCAGGGATATACAATATGGCTGATTTAGCTCCAGTCTTTATGGAATTAAGTTCCTGTCCCAAAGCAGACATGTCCTACAAACTGAGCCAAACACTAATATTGAAAATGTGTGAGAGTAATTACGCACTATATGAGTATCTAAAAAACAATAATTACATTTTTAATTTAGGTCCTTTTTCTGATACAGATATCCATTACAGAAAATTTCACTTCCGAGTATTAATGCCTGTTAAACCTATAAGAAATTGAGAACGTGTTTTTATCATGAAAATGTTGGGTAACTTTAATTATAGGAATTACTGTCCTGGGCTTCTCTAATGAATGTGTGGTACTGGCACAGTGAGTGATGTGACCTATTTAAGGAAGTGATTTAGAAAGGATGTACTTCAGAAAGTTACACTCATTAGACCTCAAGAACCAGCAAGTCACAATGTGTTCTCTATTCATGTTCTAATTAGAGCCCATACTTCTCAGAATCATTAGCATAAGAGAGGAAAATTAACAGTTTTATCCTAACAGTGTTGGGAAGCCAGATTCTGATTTAATTTACTTTCAAGTAAGTCTATAATAACACCAGGGTAAATGTGATTCCAGCACTTTATTATTTCAATAAAAAAGTAAACTCCACCCACACCAACTTTACAGTTCCTGTGACTTTTAGAAATTAATTACAAGAGTTATCTGTACCCTGTGAGCTTGTCAACTTGCTGATATAACTAGAATCTATTTTGGGTGCATGCCATTAAGATACTATAAATGCCATACTTTCTGATTAGTACTATTGTTAGGTCAGCATTTCTAAAGGGACATGGCCTAAAAGTCACTATGACTTTGACAAATATTTTTCCATGGCTGAGCTCTCAAAAAAAAAAAAAAAAAAAAAAAAGAAAAACACCAAAAAAAAAACCACCAAAAAAACCCAAAACAAAACAACAACAACAACAAATATACATCAACTCAACAAAAAAACAAAACCACAACCAAAACCAACCCACCCGGTTACAGGCTTTCTGAGACTTTGTCATTTGGATGAGCTCAGACCCTGAAGGATTGAGAGTGTTGTTTCAGAGCATAACAGTGGCATTTTGATCTATAGCATTCATCAGCAAGGAAAGAAAAGGAGACTCTGGAGTGAAAACAGCACCACAGGCAATCACTAACTCATTCCAGCTCTGTCGCTCTACCTGTGACCTCTTCACACTGTGTAGGTCGGGCGATAAACCGTCTTATCTGCTTCTGGTGGCAGACCTGGATCAAGCAGAAGGTTGTACCAGAGGCTTCCAGAGGTCCCTTCTGCCCACACCTCTATGATTTTCAGTGGTACAGTAACCATTATTAATTGGGAAACATATCCAGGACTCTGTGTAAGTCATGTTCTGCTGGAATTGATCCAGCTGAACTTGATTTTTTTAACTTGTCTCTGCACTGATGGGGTTATTTCTCAGAGAATTCATTCCTTATGGCATGAGAGAGCTGGCAAAGACAAGCAAGTTTAGAAGGGATAGAGCTTCCTTCCTTCAACAGCAGCATGGACTTATGTAAGACTCAACTGATCAATGTCACAGGCTTTCCCAGCTGCCAGACCGTTTCTGTGGGTCTTATAGATCCTCTTCAGAATATTTTGTTAGAGTCCTGATCCCTCTTGTAGCAGATGACACCTCCTGTGACATCATGGCCCTCAGCCAGAAACTGCTGTATTAATGACACTGGGTTACTGAGCAGTGGCCAAGCCATGTATTTTCAAACACTTCTGGAAATTGCAACAATAAAGAAAATACATCTGTTAACCTATTTCAGTCAACATGCAATGTGAAGGCAGTGGTTCATCACTGGAAACTAATAGCTGCACGTAAGCTGTTGTGAGGGTCCTCAACAACATGACAGTGATGTTGGTTACCACCATTAATGTTTTCAGAGGTTCTAACTCAGCAAGGGATTCCTTATGAAACATTTTTCCCCCCTTGGGAGGACTGAATTATAGACTTTTCCCTGAGGAAGGAAAGCCATCAATCTTTGTCCAGCTGAAAGGAAAGAGGTCATCTCCTGACAGTTTTGAGGAACCATACAGCCTACACCTTGTCTTTTCACTGGTGTAGTCTCAGAAGGTTTTCAGGCTGTTATTAAATTCAGTTCTTTCTAGTAGACTCATCTGTAAGGATTTGCAATGATTTCAGTGGGAAAATCTACAGGGGAAAATACTTGCTAAGGTGGAATGATCAATACATCCTGTCAGTGGATTGGTTCACGAGTGAAGCTACTCGCATGCTCAACACATTGCAGAACTGAATCTGGCTTATAAAAGTAAGGGAATATTTGGGGGCTTACTCAGCATTTCCAGGAACTGTATGCAGTTTCAACTGCAGACCCTATAACAGCATGAGACAAGGCACCTCTGAAATGAAGGGGAAGGTTTTTCTGTTAATTGCTTTGCATGTAACAAACAGCCCAGACGAGGGAAACTCTGAAATTCCAATGACATCCTGCTGGCACACAGCTCTGTTCATCCAGGCATCACTTAAGGGCCACTCAGAAGAGCAGCCTGATCTCCCAGGACCATGGTGTAGCCCTCTCCCTGGACTGTGGTGGGATCTCCAGCACCCACTAGGTGGTGGTCTGGGATAACAAGAAGGAGGCTTACAAGGCCCAGAGAGCAGAGGAATGGAAGTGTTGCTTGGCCATGAGGAGCTGAGGGGATATGTCAAAACACAGGACTTGGGACACAGTGCTAAAAACAACACGGCAGGGTCATTGAGCCATCATCACCTTCCTGATGTTTTCTCTCAGAGGAAGCAAGCTGGGTTGTTCCAAGTTGTTTCTCATTTCCAGCAAAGTGCATGTGTGCAAGGACAACTAAGCTCACTTACAAACACGAAGAAATGCCTCAGAAGCATTCACAGTCTGAGGTTCACACCTCTGATTCACTTGCAATGTTAGTGCTGCTCCCGAGCTGTGATCCTCCCAGGCACACTGGTCCACAACTCAGATCAGTGTGCTGGTGTCCTCATAGCTTTGTGTCGGCTCTGCCAGACATTAGAGCCTGAGAGCCTGAGCAAAGCTGTCAGCAATTAGGACTGCTCGGGGGCTAAGGTAAGAGGCTTAGAAATCTCACTCACTGCCCTGCACTACTGGGAGACCCTGGCAGTTTGAGCCTGTGTTTGGCACAACCTGAGAGCTGAAATGCAAGCAGCCATTACAGCATGCAAACAAAAAGGGAGCTGCACACCCATTTTTTTGACAGGACTTGGGAGCATTGTTTTTCTAGGAATTTGTTTTCCTGAAGTGCTTTCCCAAGCTGGTGGAGCAGTACTGGCATACAGACCACTGACACTGGGTTACTAAGCAGTGGTCCATCCTTACTTT